GGATTCGAAAATTAGAGTAAAAGCTCTTTTATGAGACGAAGCAAAAATTTCCCGCCAACGGGAATGCAAACCCACCAGCAGTAGGTTTTGGACGTTACCGTTGCCACTAGGCTACGGCGGCACTGCCCAATGATCGATCAGCACCGTTTACGAGCTAAAACTGAGTCTTCGCAAACTTTGACCGTGCGACAGCGCCGGCGGAGCGTGAAATGACGCCCGGATATCACTAGCCTCCAGCTTCGTTCCCGTACAGTTTTGAGTTTTGAGTTTTGGGAAAAGTGGCATGCTAGTGCAGATGCGGACCCTCCTTCTCCCCACTAAAAACAAGAAAAGACAAAGACAAAATCCATGGAAATGAGTGTACATTTAGTAGTCATTCGCCGGAAAGTTCGAGCGGCGCCAGTTTCACGCCTCATTTCGTTCCCGTCGCAAGCCCGAGTCGTACAAGGCAAGGTTTCCATAGGAGCTCGAAGCCTTCAATTCCATTCTGCAGAGCTTTCGTGAGAAGTGTAAACAACGGGCACGAGATCGCCCTAGCGTTCATTTGACGTCCCGTGGGATCCGGCCTACGTTCCGTGAGAGTAACCGGAATATTTGAAATCATATCACATGCCTTGTTCGTGTGGATTATTCCTTGCTTGCTTCACAAAAATAGCCCCTCTTGGTCTTCGACAGTAGACGGCGTTCAGACCTCTAAGTTCCTCTTTGCCATTGCGGGTGGTGGGAGACGCCTAATATCGTCCTCTTCACAACGTGGTGGAGAACGCTGACCCCATGCTCGATGTGCCTTCCTAGAGTCAGTTCCGTTAGGGTACATCATGGCACGAACGATTGTATAATTGGAGAGAGCCCCCAAGCTTCAAAATCTCTCTTTGCCGCTAATCTTCTGCGTTTCCTACAGCTCAACTAAGGAGCTTGATGGTTGTTTGGGAGAGTAGTTCTCATAATGCCGAACCCCTTCCTTCACGTCAATGATAATCACTAGAAAGATGGAATTTCGTTAGGAGAGCTACTGCAGAGCTTAGTTCAGCGACAGGGGGGGGGGCATTTTGCACTTTCGTTGCTTCACTACTTCCGGTTTACAAGTCTCACTCTGGTGAAACCTGTGAACTCTTGTGAAGCTGGAGCAAGCTCGTCAAGCCATCATGGTAAAACCTGTCAACTCGAGAAGAGGCTGTCTAGATGGGTCGACACGTCGATGGGAAGTAGCAAAAGTGCAAAATCCCCCTCCCCCTCGTCGAACTGTGCCAAGCTCATGATCACTTCAATTATAACCGCCACTGCAGACTTTGTTGTACACACGAACACATTCTCCCTGTGGGTTGTCCTTTGCATTTCCGGCAATACTCTACTCGGGACAGTGATTCCGTAATATGTCCGTCAGAAACCAAAATAGTCGTGATTACCGCAGATATCATACAGTTTCCGCATATTTACCAAGAGATGCCTCTAGGATGGGCGAAGCCTCAGACCTGTCACCAGTAGGCCGAGCAGCGAATGTAGCGTGGCAAGGACGCGAGAGACTTGTGAAGCATCTGAAGCTCCGCTCATGCCCATAGACGTCTGTCCCACGAAACGATGGCACAACGAATGAATATATTGCATAAAGTTAGCAAAATAACCAAAAACCTCTCATGAACCAGCTGGAGCGCACCAAGGCATGGGGCAGTATATAGTAGCACAAGG